TGCCAGTGTTGGTGTGTTTCTGTGTGTGTGTTTTGTTTTGTTTTTTCCCTCTGGTAGTTCTTTGATTAGGGTACTGTTTACTGCTGATTGTATGTCTGGTGATAATCTTGGTGTTAATCTCTGCTTATCTGGGTGATGTTTGCTGACTAGGAGATGTTCTGGTCTTTTGTTTCCTTTTTATTGTCTTTTGAATAGTGTGTAGATGTTGTTTATCTCTATGTGCCTGTTGATGGCTGCCTTGTCTGAACACCAAGCTTCCAGGAATTCCCTCACATTTTTGGATCACCAGACATACAATCAGCAGTAAACAGTACCCTAATCAAGGAACTACCAGAGGGAAAAAATAAAACAAAACCCCCACCCCCACTGCAAGAAAACAGCCAAGCTCAGAGAACCCCAAGGACCCCACAGAGTACCCTATCCACTTTACTGGAGTTTATAGGCCAAAGGGAACATTATCCCAGCTGAAATATAGACTATTTCAGAAGAGTCAAAAGTTTGCAAATCTGAGTGCCCTTCCTAGCAAAAAGCTGTGCAAATTGATCACAGCAACCAGGCAGGAGAGCTTCATGTTGGCCTCTCCCTAAAAGGGAGTTGGCCACTTTAAACAAAGCCACTGGGGAAAGAGTCTGATGACACATAAGGGAGTAGTAAAGACACTTCACCTCCTTTACCATCATACTGTAGGCACAAACACAGCCTCTTAACTCCCCACAGGAAACTCACCAACAGAATTATCCAAATTCATTAATCACTTGGGACAGATCATCTAAATGGATCTATTTGCCCTACAGAGCTCCCAGGTGAGAGTCAATCTCATCTGGACCAGGTAGTAACCTGAGTTTTGATATAATATTCATTCAAAGGGCCACATTATACACTCATTTAGGATTTTTTTTTTTTTAAGTCTATTTAGGAAACCAGTTCAAGAACCAAGATATCTATATAAGTTTCCCAAGAAAAGCAACGTAGGTGGGAAGCTGAATGATATAACTACATTGAAAATATATTTTTAAAAATAAATCTGTAAATAACTAGTATGGTTAGTTGTATACATAAATAATAATTACGCATTTACAATCCAATCATAATATAAATGTTCCAAAGTCTGTCTTGAAAAAACTCAGGTTCTTTCTTTGGTGAATCAAAATTGAGGGAGTTTTAGACTGTGGAACAGCCATTGCTAAATGCTTCCATTATTTGCTTAACATTCCTATTTCTGTAGTCTAAGATCAATTACCTTTGTCTTTTGTAATACAAGTTTTGGCACACAAATTCTATACAGTTGTGAAGGGCAGACCCAATTTTAATTACTATTCAGTAGCTTACTAGAAGATTTTCATTAACATTTAAAGATATTTGTCATTCTCTTCAAGAAACCTTAGACAATTACATCATAGTTTCATTCTACAACTCTTAATAAGCACAGTGAAGTTACTTGCATAAAGTCACCCACTTTCTTGATATAGGATTAGCAAATATCTTGTACCATGCCTTTCTTATATGAGTCACATTTATTGTTGCTGTGCAACAAACAATCTAACGGGGTATGAACAAAACAGAAACCGCATTTTGTATTGAGCTCAGGAAAAAAAAACCAGCCTAACTTGAAACATTCCATCAGAACATTTCCAACTGGCTGGGTTCCAAAACAACAAAACTTAAAATTCTGCATTTGCAAGGAGAAGATTAGAAGTTCTTGCTAGAATGTGAAATCCACCACAGATTACTTTGCAAAGAAAACAGAGGATCTGCCAGAACAGAATCCAGTTCAACTCTGCTAATGTTTATTTCTTAGCCCATTCCTAAAGGAAAGTTGAAGCATGCATAACAGAATGACACATATGGCACCTACGGTTTTTTAATATGCATTTTAAACAC